ATCAGTCAGTCAGTCAGTCAGTCAGTCAGTCAGTCAGTCAGTCAGTCAGTCAGTCAGTCAGTCAATAAATCAATCAACCAATCAATCTAATACTCCAGAAAATATCTGTACTCATGAAGGGTTTGGTTTGGTTTGAACATACTCCTCTGGAAATTTCAGTTAAACTTCAAAAAATCCATTATCCTTACCCTTTGAGACCCCCTTCAGAATCCCACGTGTGGGTTGGGTTTGTGAAATTTATATTTTCTAGAATCACATTATTTACAAAATGTTAAAATTATTGTACCTTGTTGTACATTTCCTTCTTAAAATTGAGTTCCTCTTCCTTGGACTGTAGTTTGTTTTCAAGGTCCACCCTGGAGAGGGTCTCTTGTTCAAGGGCATATTTTGCTGACTCTAGAGCTTCCTTCAGTTCTTGGCACTCTTTCCTAAGTTCTTGTATCACACCTTCCAAGTTCTTGGCTTCTTGATTTACTGTAGCTAGTTGCCCTTCTCTGTCAGAGAGTTTCCTCTGAGCTGCTTTCAAGGCATCTTCAGTTTTCTTGTGAGCTGCAACCTCTTTATCAAGCCTTAAATGTAAATTGCAAAATAAGAAATTGTTGATGCCAACTTACATGCTCATCTTTTTTAAACAAAACCAATTAAGCCTCCAAAAAATAAAAGAAAAAAAATAGTATACATTTGTTAATAATATCAAAGCAATTCTACATGTTATGCAAAAGAGAAATCAACAATAAATGTATTTGTACATCCTTATGATGGTCCTTCAATTAGGTTATTGACATTTGGGTTGGTTTTCACTTGAGTGTAGAAAGTAACTGATTTGGCATTAATATGTTACAAAATTGGCTTAAAAAACGTGCACTACATTTTCATCTAAACAGAAAACCAAAACCAATTGTGACTGGCTTGCACATTTTTCCTGTGCTTTGCTGAGGAGGCAAAGCATAGGAGATTGGTTCTCTGTATTGTCTGTGTCCATTGTGGTTGGATAGAGTTATGACTTTGGTTTTGGTCTAATGACATTCAATTGAAAACCACTCTACAATTATTAGCCCATTATATTCATTTGGAAACATTATCATATATTATAATACGCAGTTAATCCACAGTCCAATAAGTTCCATGTATGTAGATAAAAAAATGACAGTCTGTCTAGTCTAGATTGAATGTTAATAGTCTGGCACTGAACTTACTTCATTTTCATAAAACTGATGGTGATAAAATGTTGTGCTTTACATTTCATTGTTAGGTGAATAAAAAAACCATTTCAGATCAGGACCAAACTTTATAGACAGGGTAGCAAACTTTTTGAGTTATTGGGAGATGATTAAACACAATTACGTATTTGGCTATAAAACAGTTTTTAAAAAATTGATCATCACACAACATTAACCTGATTTATTTCAGACTTTGTGGCGATTTCACAAACGGTAAACTTAACACAAGTTACACAAAAGAAAATAATATGTAAAGAACAAACTAAGCTCTGACATGGTAAACAAATTTTCTGTTAACGAAATTTTCTTTCAAGCAACGCTTCTTGAGTTCCACTTAAACATTTTCGGATTCCTTCGGAACCCTCACTTGGCTTTGCTCGATTGAGGTATGATTTGTGGAATGCGATCTGTACTGGCTGTTTACATTTGAAATGCTAAAGATGTTGAGTATTTTAGTATTCAGTTTTCAGGGACGCGGGAACCACCCATCTCAACACAATTATCTTCTTTTATCAGTTTCCTGTACATACAGCGGCACACAGCTCGACAGGAGTCACGGAACGTTTTCCAACGAGCGCTACAATATTTTCGGAATCGAAGGCTGGTAAATTACCTGATGAAATCGACAAGCTGGTAGTAAGAAATCAACATCAAGTTTTGCTTATATTTGAATTAGAGTTTTAAAGCAAACTACGAGTGACTGATCAACCGAAACAAGAAAGCGAAGAACTTCACTGGCTTTGCACACGTGCTATTCGCCTGATAGAATATACAGTTTAATGTAATACTTATACCCTAGCACGACCCATGAAAAAACGATCTCAAAGATCAAAGAACTTCAGAAAGCAGTAGTTTTAAAAAGCGACATTTTTTTGAAAGCAATTCCAGGAGAGCAATAGATGTAGGTCAATTAACTCACTTCTTCTTGTATTCATCAGCCAAAGCTGCGTTCTTCCGATTCTCGATCTGCTCGCGTGCTTTCTCCTTAGCGGTGTCGTCGAGGAGTCGTCTTGCATCTGCAAGCTCCGATTCGAACAAACTCCTTACGTTATCTACCTCCGTCTGAGTACGAGTCCTAGTCATAGTAATTTCTGCTGTCAGCTTGCTGTTGGACTCCTCCAAAGATTTGACTCGGTCGATGTACACGCACAAGCGATCGTTCAAATGCTGAAGTTCTTCTTTTTCTTGCAGTCGAGTCATCTTGGTCGGTGAAGCTGCCCCAAGTCTCTCTGAAGACGCTGGAGTACGAGGTGAAGCGACAGTTGCAGACATTTTGGAAAGCAAGCTAAACTCAAAGCAAAGCAAAACAAAGTTCGAGTTGTAGTAGAACTTCTAGAAAATGCGCTCAAACCTTCTCAAGTTTTGGCGGTTCTCTGCTAACACGTGATGTTAATTGGCCAATGAAAAAGTGCGTTTTTTCAAATGGTCTTTCAAAGCAAATAAATGATTGGTTAAAATTGAGGCGTGACTTTTCTCAGCAAAGTCACGAATTCGATTTTTCATATTTTATCCAAAAATGCACACTATCGGGATGGTTGCTGATGCAATTGCTATTGGCTTGGTTACGCCTGAGCTATTTTTTTTTTCAATTCTAGTGACACAATATCCCACAAAATCTCAGTCTGGCACTCAGCCGGTTTTGGTTTTTCGGGTTTTCTGAAGCGGTTCACAGGTTACTTTTCTCAGTGATTTATTTATATGGTAGTTAATTCTGATCTGGCGCGCACTAGAACCATGTATCCTACTATACTATGAAAAGGCAATAAGAGAGCTATACGCAAATTTTCTTTATCTTCTTTTTGACTGCTTCACAGAAAATGTATCCTTGTTTTAGCATCAAACTGCATTGCAAAAAAACATCATCCATTCTGTCACGACCGAAGCCACGCCAATTGCATTCTCTGTGCGATACTTCCTAATTTGAAAGTTCTCTCTGTAGAGTCAAAGTAATATAAGTTAAAAGAGTCTTTTCTAACTAGTAACACAAGGAAACGTCGTGGAAAATGTAAGTATTGCGTATTTACATGAGTTTTCTATTCTCCTCTTCCAACTTCCTGACTCCGACTATGTAAGACGCAAAGCGATTGTTTAGATGTCTGAGTTCATTTTCCTGTTTAGTCAGAGACATCTTCCTTTGCGAAGCAGGCACAAGACGCTTTCCGGATGGAGAATTTCGAGTTGAGTGCGCTGAAGATTTTTCTGCAGCCGCCATATCTGGTAAAACACTGAAAAAGCACAAAACACAAAAAAAGAACGTAAGACCAATGTTTTTCAAAATTGCAATGAAACGCAAATGACAATAGACTTCCGAGAACCAATCGTTCTTGGGTTGCTGATTAGCGAGATAGTCACTCACCTGAACTATATTTGTTATACTTGTATTGATTCATGCTTCAAAAAGAATTTATGCAGTCAACTAATTAATTAATTAACTCTGACGGAATAAACGGTACGTGACTGAATAAAACTGGGGAATATCCGAGTGATATTCTTCAATTTTCAAAACTACCCGTGTTGTGAAAAACATTTGTATAGGTAATCGTACGGTTTCGTGTTCAATTTGGAATTAATCTGCACGAGTGAGTTTTTCAAAAAGCTGAAATTGCACGAGTCACTTCTCATTCGAGAAAACGTTTTTCAAAGTTTCCGCACAAAATTTTCGTCATCATTTTACGTGATATCATAGCCTCCATTTGGGGCGAATATATGCTAGCATATTGTCACGTCAAATGGAGCCTCTTATAATTTGCCGAATGCGCATCAGCGGAGCCCCATTGTTTAGAAAATTTGGTAACCTATCGATTTAAAAAATTGAGTTGTCACGTGATAGTCAATCCGTACATCCTTGCGCCTCCTTCATGTAAATCAATGTGAAATGTCGCTCTGCAACGACCTCAGTTCCCAAGGACGTTCCCCTAGAAATTAGGAGGGGCGGGTTTACAGCGTACATCATTGCTTGATGTTGGGCATCCATGTTATGTTCAATTGACACCTGTCAAAATAAGGTATCCGCTTACCAGTATCACTTGACCATATCGCTGGCTCATGTTTAGAGTTCATTGAGGTCTTGTGATTTTTTGATGTTGAATTTTTAGCAGTTGGCGTAATCATACGTAAAACATACGTATAGTGTTTTGATCTCAGTCGATCTCATTAACGATTATTACATGAGCGCGTGTTGAATATGAATTGACTATAATCATCTTATATCAAGCACGAGCGGAATAATTGTTTTATTGAAAACGCCCCCAAAATATAGGAAACTATAATAAAATAGAAATGCCCCCCAAAAAATTACGCTTACGCTTACCAGTGTAGAGCATGATGTAATGGCTCATATACCATGAAGGCTAAGCCAATGAAAACTCTTGAAAAACATTATCTCATGATCTAGTTTTAAATAATACTGATTATTCCAATTAAGCACCATTCTTCCACAAAATATTTCGGACAAGAGCCTTTCAAATTAATCTGTTGAAATAGACTTAGGTTTGAATCTCCCGGCCAAGACATGGATAGCGCCAAGTAGAGGCGAAAAAGATTACTCGGAAGGCGTTACGGAGAATAAGTGTTCTTTGAAGGAGCTACGTCATACTTTGCGCATCTTGAAAAGTTTAGCCTAACTTTATCAAGTTGGGCGTTTGTAATCCGTGTTAATCTTCTCCATCCTTAAGCATTCTTGTTCTTTTATGGTTGGATATTTTCTCTTTGGTGCTTTTCTATATTAGCAAATTACCATTCTCAGGTTTCCTTCAATTTAAAGGTAATTTTGTACGTGGCCAAAAGAACTCAAAATGCCACGACATAGCTCCTTTCAAGTCTCCGAGTAAGTCATCATTTACAAGTCAGGGTCCTCGGAAAGCACCGATTACTGTCGCTAGAGCAGCGAAGGAATGCGCGCTGCTACTTAAACAGGACAATCCTTGCTGAGTCAGTGTATATGGTTAAATTGAAGTAACACATTGCGCAGCGCTGGGTCGACTAATTAAACGATCATTAAAAAACTTTTATAAGGTATTTATTTTTTGACAACCTACAACGTCTCTGCCCTGCAATTAAAAAATGACTTTGGTCGGCATTTTAAATGTGCAATGTATTTTTTCTTTTATTAAATACGTATACCTATCTATACATCAACATACGCCACCAAACATACAGGAAAAGGCGGAAGTTTATAACAGGTCTTAACAATCGGCTGCAACGATAAAAGAACTGAAAAGTCAATGAAGTTCAACGGGAACGCCTAGGACGACAGACAAGGGCAGTTGTTGTTTCAATCTTATCTCTTTTTCACTTATTCAGATATGTGTATGTTATTAGCTTCGAGTTTAAACGTCCATAGATAGTAGAACCAAGAGCTTGAGCCCAGTACTCTTAGTTTGTGTTCATAGCGTCTAACGCATTCAAAATTATCGAAGTTTTGGCTGAACGGATGGCATTGTCAGCAACTTCTTTCACGATTTTCATCCATCGTGTCCCGGGGAAGTCATTCACAGTCTACATCACTGGCTTAATAGAATCGTCTCCTCAAGCTAACACAGAGCAATTGGTCGCCATGGAACGAGAGTCTTTAACCGAGTGTTTGCTGAATAAACTGCTGGTCCTTAGTGTTTGTTACTAATGTGTTGACAACTTTGCACTTTATTTTGTACTTTGGTTAAAAAACCAGTTTTTTCGCTCTTATTCCTGCAAAGAAAAGAGGACAGACCAAATTACTACATGTAGAACGTTGTAAATTACAACTACCATTATCAGTTTGAGTACAGCACTTTACAAATATTTACATTGTGTGCTTGACTTGGTACAAATGTATTGTCCTGGACTCTATCAACAGCTCTGTTTACAAGTATTAATCTTACGACAAGACTGTTAATGTGACACTAATGGTGCATGTCAAAAATCTAGACAAAATCATTCAAGTTTGATGTATGATTGCCTCTCAACTCTTCTCTTGTCCGGTCCTTGGGCAACATATTTGCCAATACTCTGAAAAATTTCTTATCATCAAAACCAAATTGTTATCATATTACCATCACCTGTATCAGAGACTGAATCAAATATCTTCCTTTTCAGTGAAGTTTCCTCCTCTTTCATACTTGCCGCAGGCCCTGGTATTTTAGGGCGTGGCAGTAAGTGTCCAGGAGTGGGTACAGGCTTGTTAGAACAGTATGGCATCTTGAGAGCCTGGAAATAAAATGTCAAAAGAAAGGTTTCTATTGATTTAAACCAATGACTCATCCAAGTGGCAAAGTAATCATGAGGTAAAATTTGCCCTGGGTAAAGTGTCTCATACAATCACAGCTTATCCCAGATGGAGAAGCATTAAGTGACTAGTATTTCTTGTACCCTGTAAATGGGATGTTATTGCATTGCAGGGTTACCCCCTGCCCCCAGCATTTAATTTGCTGGCAATCATGAGGAGAGAGAGAAAGGTACTGTGAGAGTAAAGTGTCTTGTCCAAGAACACAACAAAAGACCCTGGCCGGGGCTTCAACTTGAATCACTCAAGCCGGAGCTGCTAACCAAACCATTACACAACCACAACTCACAACCTGTGTTAGTACCATCAACTGAAGATGCTCTGATTCTTAATGAGTTATACTGTACCTGAGTTGCATTTACTCTGCCAGAAGGATCACAGTCCAACAATCTATCAAGCATATCTAAAAGATCATCACCAGCTGCAGAAAATATGTCCTTAAGAGGAATCCCTGGAAATTTACGAAACTCCACATAGTCTGGCAAAGATGTCACACCCTATAGTAGACACGGACAACATTATTAGAATTTCAGATGGAAAGTTCAAATGAAAACTTTTAATTTGTTTGGCTACAAAGAAATAGTTTTTTTTAAAGCCAGTTTAGGACTTACAGGTTAGGGAAATGACAAGTGAAAATTTAAATTCTACAATATAAATGGGAAGAAATGTAAGAAACTTAAAAATCTACCATCAACAAGGAAAAAGATTCCAGAAACAAATTCATCCTACTGGCTGTATAATTCCAATAATAAGAGTAATAATGGTAATATTGTTTACTGTTGAGCATTCTAATGGGTACATAAGCATTACTCACTGGCCAGGAATCTTCAGATGGTGTACCAAGGGTTTCAAATATTTTGGTCAGTTGATCCAAGTCAGAACTTCCAGGCAAGAAAGGAACCTTTGGAGAACAGAGACATCACAAAGATATCATCAACTGTGATAACTCAACTTACACAGAGAACCAAACATGAAAAAACTGCCACAATTTAACAGAAGTGCTGACCTGTATTTTATTTCTTTTTAATGCTGATGTTAACTGGCTGTCTGGCTCCACTAGCCCCTAGGGTTATTCCAGGCAGCTACTACTTTCAATATTTTCATTGTTGTAATTTCTTATTTTGAGCAAGAGTGAGTGCAAATAAAGATTGATTAATTGATTGATAGAAGTCACCCACCCTGAGAAGCAGTTCAGCAAGTATACAGCCAACAGCCCACATGTCAACGCCTGTACCATAGATCCTTGCTCCAAATAACAGCTCTGGTGAACGGTACCACCTACACAAGAGAGGTCACAAGATAAGTTTCTTTTTATTTAAAGAACCCTCTGAGGTACAGAGCGAAATTATAGACCACATATATAATGATATAATTTTAACAACATAAGACAGCAATTTCATAAAGAAGTTACTAACAATGTTAATAAAATTCAAAGCATTCTGAGCGGAGCTTTCTAGTCTGTTTATAAAAGTAGTTTAACATGAATATGGATTTCTGTCAGTTCTACTTGGTTTTAACAGCAAACAGCAAGTTGCCAACAGGCAAGTTTTCTTTTTGTGACAAAGCAAGTAATAATATTGCTTCTCTGCCTAGATGGAATACTGAACAGTGTTGGCCACACCCAAAGTCAATTTAATATAATCATAGTGTCACTATGCCTCATTTGTCAAGTAATACTCTGCAAACCCACTCCATCATCAGTACTTAACTTCTTTTAACACAGGTGTAAATATTATTGTAAAGACATGAATGATCCTCGCAGCCATGTACACAACTTAAGCAGTTGTGAAAATAACCGCTAAAAAGAATTCAGGCTTGCACCCATGACCTTTGTGATACTGGACCAGGTGCAGTGTTCTACCAGTTGCTGGTTTTCATGTGACGTAGTCATATTACAAAATTAAAAATTACCTTGAGTTTCCTTCTGAGGTTTAATTTCATCAGATAAAAGACTCTATAGGAACTTGACATCTTACAATCTTTTAGCTTGACAGGGTTCTTTGTTTTGTAACAGAGCACATTTGAATTTTAAGCTTTTGCATTGTGTGAGATTAAAATGGCAGCCCAAGAAGGCTGTCATGTAGGTGGCACATCAGGCTGACGCTTATATCCGGTTTCTGTAACATCAAGAAACTAGGAGTATTTCTACCCCCCCCCCCCCCCCCCCCTCCCCCCCGCTCCCCGGATGGGATGCTGCTAGTCCATCACAGGGTTACCCCTGGCATTAAATTTACCGGTATCAATTTATGAACCTGGTTGGAGAGACGCACTGTGAGAGTAAAGTGTCAACACAGTGACCCTGGCCAGGGCTCGATCCAAGACCACTCAATACAGAAGCAAGTGCACTAACTGTGAAGCCACTGTGCCTCCATCTCCATGAATGAAAAACAGCAGAGACCTAATTCTTGGCAAGGTCGTTTATAAATCAATTATCTATCATATTGCTGATTCTTGACGTTATTTATTGAATGGTTATGTTTTTAGTTTTGATCTATCAAGCCAACTTCAAAAAGGTGTAAAATTGTTACTAGCAATAATTCAGCATTCTGACCTTGTCACCACTTGATGTGTATAAACCTTTGTTGGACTTCCAAAAGATCTAGCAAGCCCAAAATCACCAATCTTCAATACTCCTTTATCATCAATCAACAAGTTGTTCGGTTTCAAATCCTACAAGAACAATATTACATTTATTATTTAACAACTAACCAACCATTCTTTCATCTCACAAAGCTTAACTCACTCAAGGTTCATACTCTTTTGAGCTTATAAAATTCCATTACTTTCTATGACCTTTACCATGACCTATGTTAAGCTGTTGTTCTCAAAGTATTGTGAAATCAATCTATTATTTAAGGTATTTTCCCATGATGCATAAAATTTGTGCTAGTGTTTATTTTTTACTGGAATTAAAACCAGTTTTCTGACTTGCCTGTTATTTTTTCAACTTTTGATCTTTTAGCCTTTTTGTTCTCAGAAAGTCATTGCTTTTCCAAGACTTTCCATGACCCACACATCAATTTCAACTTTCCAGGCCTGGAAAATGGAATATTTATAAAATTCCATGACTTTCCAGGTTTTCCATGACCTGTACAAACCCTGTCACTATAGACAGTTCTTCTAGCAACTGTAACTTTGGCTATGAAAAAAACACTGGAACTGTTATCCATCTGAAGGTTACCGACCTACTTGCCACTTGCCAGATTTAATCTCAGTAATATATATATATATCTATATGCAGAAGGCACAATGCTGAATGTGGAGTATTATATAGCTGTATATAGTCACCCCTAGAAGCACACACTTTGGGTCTAAGATAATATTAAAAGTATTGAATTATGATAATTGTATGGCTATTTATACCCTCTTTTTGGGTCCAGTTCTCCAGTTTTATTCATGGTTATAACATAAGGTTGTCACAAGCTTTTAATGTAGCCAGCTTTATTGCTGAAATAATCAGCTTATTTTTTCATCTTTTCCTAATGATTCAGACAAATAGTCAAGCAGCATAGCTGGCTGTGATCATGAAGGAAATGGTGATATTTGTTTGTGCCAGCTACTTCTGACAACCTTAATGACATTTTAAGTGTAGCACACCTGTGTTTTTGCATATTGTCTCAGCAGGTTAGGTGAGTCAAGAGTACATATCATTAGATATTACTTAGTCTGTCTACTTACTCTGTGAAGGATCCAATTCATGTGAAGATATTCCAGACCTTGTAATGTCATAATGATATAACTTTTTATGTTTGCTGGACTTAACACAAGACTTGTGTCCTTTATTATAACCTAATATAGGGATACCAAAATAATCAAATTTAAACATTTATTAAAGTTATACATATATCCGATCATTTACACAAAATGCTTGGCATTTTTGACTGGTAGATCTAGATGTTACCTCAAGATCTGTCTCCATAAAGTCAAACACAAGACTAATGTTGGATTTGTGGCCAAACACATCAAGAAGCTGAGAGAAAGAAACAGACAAAACAGGTGTGTCACTGCAAAAGATTCATCAAATTCATATGCAAGACAGGAAAAAAACCCACTAATATAGAGCTAACTGAAATTGTACAGATCATTCAATATTTTGTCAATAGTACACATCAACATGTAGTCTAATAGACAGTCATTATTTGGTTCATCACACAATCATCCTCCCCTGTTAGTGATGGTATTAGTGTGGGAGAAGCATGGTATGATGAGCCAAATACAGGCTGTGTAGGGAACTTACCAACATAATGTATAACACATAGAGATAAGAAAAAGATTTGGAATTTCAAAACCTCTGTCACTTGTACAAAGAATACACAGATGGATCCTTCATACTTACCCCTATAATATTAGGATGTTTCAATTCCTGCAAAAGCTTGATTTCACGCAATGCAGTTCTGTTGATTCCTGCAATGAAAACATTCAAGTATTGCTTTTTCATACCTATCATTGTTCATATATTGTTGTAGAATAACTACTTTACTCATCACATAGCAAAGCTCATACAATTATAAAGAGAAATTTATTATAGTGTACATTAATATGAAGTCACATGTAAATCACACAATGTTGAAAATTCTGATTTAAACTTGCCAATCACTAACCATCTTTTGCTTCACTCCTCTGTCCTAGTTTGATCTGTAATAGAATATTATTATATATTCAAGTCATAAGAAAATTTAAGCCTCGTTGAGAAATAATTAAATAAATATGTTTTTGGCTACTTCAGTTGCTATATTTATCCCTCAAACTTTAGACTGCAAGCAGTCTCTCTTTCCCTCAAAAATCTGTGGGTAAGAATGCAAAACAAACTTGTAAGCATGTGAGCGTGACATGCAAGTGGCAAGTGGTGATGCTGGGAGGCGCTAGTACTGAGGATGTCGGAAGAGGAGTGAAAAGAGAGACTGGAATGGTTTTATACACAGGTGGCATCAATGACACCTCCGTCCCTTTTTGAATACAGTCAAACCTCCGCTTGCGACTATCTCTCATAAGTGACCACCTCTCCTCAGCAACCAGTTTTCCAAAATACCAAAAGTTTTCAAGTCAAATCATTATATTTGGAACCTCCTGTAAGCGACCATATCTCGTAAGTGATTGCAAACACTTTCAGAGCTAAAACTTTGAAATTTTCTTTTGTTTTTAACCTCCCATAAGCGACCACATGATGATGATAATATCTAGAGCAGAAATGCATAATAAGGTGTTGTAACATTATGGCATTGCTGGATAGTGGAGAGAAGGGCATTTCTCAATGAGAAGTGTCATTACGGTATCTTTTCCTGAAATTGACTTTTCATATGACTAAAGCATTTAAAACATTGGGTAGGTCTCTGCAGTTACCATAATGCTAATGAGGCAAGATTTTGACACACTATGATCTTAGCTCTCGTAAGCAACTACATAGGCTTGACATTTTGGGTGGTAGCTTATGGGAGGTTCGACTGTATGACACTCCCCAGTGTCTAATTTTTATCCAAATTGATCAAAGCTATATCTGGTAAGATGTGATGAATGGTTCGACAGATGGTAGTTAAAACCAGACCTATGCAGTAGTGTAGCAGCTCTCGTAAGCTTGTAAATCTATTTGTCATCATTGCAGCAGATGCTATTGTTTTGGGGTTTCGGGCATTGTTTCTGTTGTTTGTTCTATTGTCTCCTCAAAGGGTTTCAAGCCATTCATGTGAGACCTTACTAGTGCTGCAACATGACCTGGCTTATGACCACTCAAAAATTTCAATACTGCTCATTCAAATGGCTCTACTCTACTTATAAGTCCTCCTAATACCACAGTCCTTCAAAAACAAGAGTGAAGCATAAAACCAATAAAAAGGGTGCAAGATTGAAATTCAAAATAGAGTGGCATGAACTGTAAGAGTTGCACCATAGGAGACAAACCATCACAACAGAGTTTGGCATGTGCTGCGTAACACTTCTAAAGGTTACTGACAGATGTGCATCATAACTTAGAAGATCGACCAATAGAATAACTCCGCATCCAAAATGTTGTATGAAACAATAACAGTCTGTCTTTTGGCTCGTCTTCCAATGCCCATGCTACTAACTGCTTGCAGCATTGTCACTCCTATGTCACTCTCACAGTCATGCTTGCACGCTCACTTGTTTTGCATTCTTCCCCACAGATTTTCAAGAAAAAGGGAGACTGCTCGCAGTCTACTCAAACTGCAGAATATCTTTAAAAGTTTTTTCCCTCAGATGATACTCTAAGGTACACTCCAAAGAGACAAACCGCTGATACAATGGGCTCAATCATTCATTCCGGCCAAAATGTTTTGCTGGCTTGCAGAAATGTTTCTACCAGTACCCCTACACCTTAGTACTCTCTCTTACTTTAAGAATCACCAGACTGAATGAATGATCACTGATTGGCCAACAGCAATCCATACAAATATTAAATAATATTACCGACTGATCGATTGCTTTTTCCATCATCGATTTCCATGCTTAGGTAACATGTACTCTGTCTGACCAATTCATGATCTTTTTCAGACAACATTTAGGTTTATTAAACTTAGGAGTCATCTGGTGTTGGAGTGATCTGTTTTCCTCTAATTGCTTTGCTTGGTCTTTCGAATTACTTCTTGTGTACCGGTGAACGAGGACTTTAATACCTTCTTCACTGCTACAATAGTGTGCGTTTCCTGATCTTCAGCTTTGTAAACTGTCGCAAACTACCGCCAAAAAATGATCACTGTTAGAATATCAAGCTGCTTGCCCAAAGAAAAAAACAGGGTCTCACACGCTCTATACCTGTCCTTCGCCTAAAAAGTCAATCTTCTTATATCGTTTCGAACGTTCCTCCATTTTGCTTTCATGATTACCGTGTGAAGACTGGGTGCTAACAAACAAGTTTTGAACCCAGATTCCGCGCGGGCGGTTGCTGGTATATAAGGGTTTACAGGGGTATACTAGAGCTACAGGCATATTCTCGGGACATTATACGTAGTCTTACATAAAGTACTAATCCCAACCAGAGTTTGGAGCATCCGGTTTTTCGCCTCTCTGTAATTCCCGCGCCGAGAAAGACCGAACGAGAGAGGGCGAGAGATCGATTTCCGTGAAATCAAAACTTTTGCTTTGTTTATGACCAACAAATTCACCGTAGAGTGGAACCGTTTGACTGTACTGTAGAGTGTTTTTCAGAGGTCACTTGTAAGTCTACAGTGGCTTCCGCACTCGCGTCACAGAAATCGTTCTCGTCGCTTGGTTTCGCAAACGGTTTTTCCTCGGCGCGTGAAGCAAGAGCCGAGAAATCCCGGATGCTGTCGCAGGAGAGAGGTGGAATCAAGGATAACCTTGACGGGCTTTTGCTTCATAAATTCTGCATTCAGATTAAGTTTCAAATCCACCGGCTTCTTTGATAGCTTTCTCTCGTATTTAAAAAAAAAAAAAAAAAAAAAGAAAAATTGGATCCGATTTTTGAGCATGTGCAGTGTCTTCTGTTAGTATTTTTGTCTGATTTGACGCCATTTTCGTCCCCAGAGGCGGCGCTATTTTTGGTGACTAAAAGGAGAGCGGCCTCTGGGGACGAGAATGATTTGATGCTATCTCGTTCCCAGAGTCCACGTTATCCACGGCTAGCGGAATGGGAAACGAAGGACTCTGGGAACGAGATTGGATTTGACGGGAAGTCCGCATTCTCGTCTCCAGTGCTACTCGTCTTAAAATGCCGCTGACGTTTCGCCAACCACGTGACCAAAAGAAACGGAGGCTCTGGGGATAAGAATTGGAAGTCCGAGGATCGAGGACTTCTTGAACTTGCCAGAGGTCTAGAGAGGCAGACGTTGGGGTAGGGGCGGAGGGTATGTGGGCGGTGACCTGTCCCGCAATCTTGAAAAGGATGCACGAGACGTTGTGATGTCGTGGTCTATACAGCTATCACAGTCAAAACTTCCAGTCCTGTTGACCCAAAAGAAGAGTTTGATGCCAGGTTGTTTGTTTCGGGCAAGGCTTCTGACGGAAGTTAGTAATTATCTAACTATTAGTGAAAAAAGAACAGTAACAATAGTCAACAAGTTTTTCTGTTGATAAATAGTATTCGGTCCCGGTTCACTTATATATCAATTCAACTTATAAATATACCTGCATATAACAACGATGACAATTTACAAATTAATGTCATCTCGTCTTTTTGATTCCCATGCCCCAGCTATGTTCCTTCAGACACTAGAGTTAGTTTGAAAAATGTGCCGCCATCTTTTCAGTGTTAAAAGCGCGAAAAGCAGTCACTTGTGCACTTAGTCCTTTAGCAGTTGATTTCCCGATGTGTGAATAGCACAATTTTCATGTTATATACAGACATTCTGTTGATCGCTCTCAGCTGCGTAAGTTGCTGTGATGATTCCAGGAGGCGGAAGTTACATCAGCTGTCGCATCACAGTAACACACATATGAAGCTGACGGGAGTAGAGTGCTGATTTAACAAAAATCGCCATCTACACAAGCTACTATGTGGAGCCTTGAATTATTTTCCTTATTCTTTCCGAGTCTCTCTGAAGGTCCGTGTTATGAGGGTCCAGTTTTAGAGCTGACTCGTAGTCCTGAAGAGCTGAAACGAAAAAAAAAAACATACTAGACATGATATCTAGCTGTATCAACTGGATGTTGAATGAGTGAATGCAGCTTAGATAGGTGATGTTTGGTAGTCTTAAGGCAAATCGAAGCGATTGATCTTTGTATTTCTAAGTTGGAGGTGGAGGGAGGGAGGGGGGCGGGGGGAGTGGGCTAATGGACGACCTGGTAGTGTTTCTGGGGGCTGCGATAATCCCATCTAGAGGGGCGGGGGCATTAAATTACACCCAATGCAGTTTCTTTTTGCTACAAAACCGGGATAAGCTCCGCGCCTTGGCCTGCGGAAAAGTTCCTTTACAAAACTCTGAAGAAATGAAGTAAAATTTATCTTTCCGCTCTGATAGACGAATAGACGTCAAAGAGGAGTCCTCGTTCGTAATTAACAAATGTATATCTGTGGTGTCTATGAATTCAAACAGGTGTTTTGCTCAACTGAGAAGTCATCAAGTGTCTGTACGTGTACTTGTCAATGTAACTTTGTTCACCTACCTAACACATATTCATGTATTTGCATGTACGCTGTTCCTCTTCTAACATACGCCTTACATCTCGATGAACAGTTTGCCTGAACTGGTGGAACAAGGAGCTCCAATGACTGGTGAACAAACAAGTACAACAGGAATAAAACATTGAACTGAACATGTGGACGATTTTGGTTTTAAGAAAAGATCCTTACACTTGTGCAGTCTTGAATGCATTCTTTGTATTGTTTTAATTGAAGATGGCACGCTGCCCTGTTGGAATATAATCTTTAATAAGTCAAGGAGAAATGTCTCTGAGAAGTATCACATTCACTAATTCACTGAAACTGGTAGAAACAACGTAGATTTCTCCCTCCACTTTCCGACACTTTAGACTTGTAATACGTAACCACATGTCTCCATAATTTATTGACGTAAAATCTTACTTTTTAAACATCTTTTTTGTCTAGTTTACAGGAAAACTAATATCTAGACCGGTTTTAGAAAATTCTCATTTCAGTTGAAGTAAGTAGTCATTAGAAAACGTCTTCTACAAACAAATTAACCTATATTTGCTGCAATATATCCATAGTTAACTTAATTCTTCCATAATTTAGCGTGATTGAAAAAGGATACGATGGAATGGAATCATCCAGAACAATGGCTGCAGTAAATGCGTTAATAGCTGCTACATAGTTGCCAGCCTTGAAGAATCCACTGTTGAATTAACAGCATGAAAAAGTCAGGCCATAACAATATGATCATGAATAACTTGCTGCTGAACCTCAATTAAATGCCTTCTTTCATTCTGACCTTCGTATATTTACAAATTAAGGCTTCATAAGAATTCCTTCAATAGGAGACTCTGTACTAGTAAAATGTATTTTCCGCTGGTATGAAGTTGATACAGTTCGTTAGCAGTTTGTTTTTCGTGTTTTGTTGGAGCACGCCGTTAGGGCGTGTCTCCAGGGATTTTGTGGTTGGTTGGTGTTTAGTATTATGATTGTTGGTGTGAATCTTGAATAAACGTCAGTTGTTGGACTGCCTGAGCATCCAACCATCAATTTGTTGTATTTATTTATGTATGTTTTTTAAAGGAAAATAATTTACGTTCGTTTGAGCGTAGCGAATTAGAAGGTAATAAATTTTTTGTTTGTTCCCCTTCTTGTTTGTTTGTTCGTTTGTTCATTTGAAAATTTGTTCACTTCCTCTTTTACTTCTCCCCATTCACTCCTAAGTCCATCTGGTTGTTAAGGGAAAACTCTGGATTTCACTTTCAATGGCGACTCATGTTGAACCGTTATCATGTTTTATCAGTCCAGCCAGTAAAACCAACTTACATTCCTTTGTCTTTCAGCCATACTGGGTTCATTTCTTCCATATCAACAGCATCAGTGTTGGCATTATCTGTTTTGCGACCAGCACTGGCCATCTTTCTAAGCCACTAATTGAAAAAGAAGAGCACCGTCAGTTTAAGATGTGGGTTGCTTATGATTACTTGGGAAGCACAAACATTGCATATCTTGCAAAAATTATGCTAACCAAATTTCATGGATCTCACTTTCTCAAACTGGCTTGTGCAAGGCTAAGAAAATGAATTTTGAAGTCCTAAATTTACCATTCCCCACCAGTATTGCCCTGTTATTAAATCACATGTGGATAACTTGTTCTTTCTCTTCCTGAAATATGCAAATTTTTCATGGTATAGGTTCCTCATCCAAAGGTTACTACCAGTTATTTTCTGTAAATGGTTATTACCAGTGGTAGTTTGAGTTGAGTTGAGTTGCTCTGAGAAGGGGAGAAGGGCAAAGTGAAACTGGGTCTTGTCTTTTTCCAGTAATGAAAGAGGGGCAAGGGAGGGGGGGGGGGGGAGGAGAAAAATGTCCAGATACTACCCCCGGTAATCAAAATTGGATCTGAGAGCCTAGCCATAATGTCCCTGTGTTCCATTTGTTTGGAAAAGACAGTCTGAAAAACTCTAAAATTTGTAGCCACAGTAATATCCCATGAAGTCAAACATTGTTTTCATGTATTCCAGACCTATGACCTAGGACTTTATTCCACTTCTCGAATTCCACTAAAAAATAGTTGTGCATCCTCTTAACCAAAAAAGGAGACATCATAATAGTTTTTGTGAGAGGGTGGTGTAGATAGCAGACAATGTTAGACACACCTCTTCCTCCTCTGGAGCTTTTGATTCTCTGGCAGCTGTTTTGAAAACTCTTGGAGTGAATGACACTGAGATGGAACCTGACAACCTGGGCTCAGGTACTGGCTTCTCAAGCAAGTCCGTCTTTTTACCTTAGGAATGCAATGACAACTGTAAAGCATATCATTAGCCTAGAGCGAGGATTATTTTAGAGAGTCTTCACAGCAAGAAAATGCAAACTAATAAAATTAACTTCCCGAAAAAGGATACCAATATGTGTGACAAAAAAATGTATGGAAATGTACTGAAAAACTTGAAGAATAAAATAAGCTCAGACATACAAGAACACACAAAAGTAGATCTTCACAACCAGTAACACCATAACAACATAAACTTTATGAATTGCAAATACAAACCAAAAAAAATTATTAGAAATAAGTGGTTCCATTCTTTTGGCAAGTATTAGTAAACAGGTGATGCAAATAAAGAATGACAGCTAGGGGACATTGCCTTTCTATACAAAATTACCTTTTTTGTGTGCAAACATTCTTACAAATGTGTCTGAGAATCAGAAAGAATTGATGTTTTGGGGTTGGAACTAAAGTGTTAAAGAGGGCAATATAGAACCATACCAAGTGATTGTTGTTGTTTATTGTGAGATTGTAGTTTCTTTACAGCTGGTTTTTCACTTGTCTTTTGAGCTTCTTGAGTTTCTTCACTGCTTGAATCAACTTTTGTTCCTGACATGTTGTCTTTCCATTGCTCAGTTATTTCCTCTTTTAAAATTTCTGGTTCTCTGCTAGATTGTACTTTTTGATTTTCTTTCCACCTTTCAATTGCTTCTGTGGCTTTCTTGCGTTCCTCATCTTTTATAGCATCTATCCTGGCTCTTTCTTCCTGTTCTAACTGAATGAAAAAACCCTCAGCACCAATAAAGATTATTAAAATTTACCTAATGATTTATTTTTGTTTTTTCTGTTTTTATTTTTAAATTAACCTATTGATGCCTGTACCAACCGTGACATCAGCATTGGCCTTTGTTCCCACTTGTGACATCATCACCTTTGACCAAAATTGGCAACACTTAAATACTCAAGTTAGATGGGAGGAAAAGATCTTTCCAATGATACCCTGATCAGAGTGATAAGGTCAATAATTGACCTAATCTCTCTGACCTGCATATTTCACTCTCAATTACTGAGAGTGAAATATGCATGAAAATGCTTAATTAGAAATTTGAGCAAGAAACTTGAAGGAAAATTTCCCCCAGCTACACTTGGTTGCTCTGTGGTAAGAATATCCTGTGTCAATGGTGCTTTCTGGGGAATTCTTAAACTGGAAGCAAGCCCAGCAACTGCCACAAAAAGATAAGAAAAGGAAAAAAAGGAAAGGCGGCAAAAAAAAAAAATTAAAAAACAAAAACACTAAAGATGTAGGTCACTTTCTCGTCCAAAATTTTGATTTCTGCACATGCCCAAGCAAAAATGTCATAAAATGCGATGCTAGTGGAAAGATGGGCATGCTTTCATGTTGCGCCTTTTTGAGTAGATTGGAGCTAGTTTAGTTCACGTCCAGGCTGAAAATGCCAAAAATGTCTAAAAATGGGTTTTTCCTAAAACTCTCCAGCTCTCAATGGGTTAATGTCTGGAGATGAAAAGAGCTGTCTGAAAAAACAGTTTACTATTTATCAAAAGTCACTTTTGAATTCTAGCATACAGAAGGCTGCATGAAACAAGAGGAAGCATGGTTAAATAGTAAGGGTGCCAAACTTGATGTCCCCGGGGTATGGGTTCCAGTCCCATTCTGACTACTGAGCTGGTGGTGTTCTCAGAAGTTCTGAGTTCAGCTCCTCTACCACACCTGTAAATAGCCAACTGGTTTACCTTCTGTCACTTTTTAAGCTTGAACGTTTGTTTGCAAATATTTGTTTCAACTTTTGTTTCCATTGGTCCTGAAAAAAGCCTCATGGATGAGTCATCAATTACATTTTTTGGAAAATGATTGTATTGATGAAATGCACAAATACCAACATAAAAATATAGAAATCTGGATATTGCCAATCTACCTTCTTGACCATCAAAAAACCTTGTTAAAGGTACAATTCTGTTGATGGAACCAAAATATAAATATGCATCAAATCTCTAACACATTTCCCTCCAAAATTCCAAACGTAAGCCAAAATAGGAGTGAAAAATGTACTTTCAGCACTTTCCTCCACATCTGGGAGATTTAGTGACCCATATAGGAGACCAAGAGATTGGTCTGTATCCAGGGGTCCAGGATATGAAACTGTTTGGAGATAGGTTGTTCAAAAAAAGTATAAAAATGTACACAAACAATGCCTAACATGCTATGTGTAGTGCTAGTTCACCACTGTTCGATCAAAGTTAATGGTATTTCAGTTGGATAAAAATCAAGGAAAAATTGTGAATTATAAATTATTTCACCTACCTTTCCTCTGAAACACCATGAATAACGATCAAGCAATGGTGAAACTGTACTTCCCATAACACCTTACAGCATTTTTGGGTTTGCTTATACACTTGCTTTCTTTTACACTTTTTTATTTTATTTTAGGACCAACCTTCATTTGCTCTCTCAGTGCTAATTTCTCTTGCTCTCTTTTCTCAGCTGCTTTTCGTTCCTTTTCCTCTTCAGCTCTCTTGTGTGCTTTAGCAACAGCTTTTTCCCGTTTAGTCTTCATGAATTCTTTGTCTTCTGATTCTGAGGCCAGTAACTGGTTCCATTGTAATGAGCTTTTCTTTACCAGTTGAAATTTGAGAACGCCATTACCAAACGTTGCCCTGCTCTTGGTATCTTCAACTTCATCAAACAGGCACACTTCAAAAATGTATGGTGGGTAGCTCACCTACAAGTGATATTCCATTAACTGTATCAACTATAAAAGCGACAATATCACGATAATTGGTAATGCAAGCTTGCTCAAACGAGAGACAGAAATGCTAACCTTGATGTACTCATCAATGGAAAATATATCTACTCGATTTGGCGGCACTCCCTTTAACGGTACAGTAATTAAAACTGATTCGTTCGTTTCCTCCCAAACGTAGTCCTTCACTTGTATCGGCATCTTAACCCTTTTTAATTTCTAAAACACCATAAACATGACAAATGCTGTTTATTAACCCATATAGCCACCTTTCTAACACAAAATCTACCAGGCGCGTTTCCAAGTAGTTCCCAGTTCTCGCATTTTTACTTTATTTCGCGCCAACTTCAAATATGGCGGACAAGAATGCTCGACGTAACATCGGTGTTGGAATTGGTGTTTTTGTAAGTTCTCCTGAGCATCCAAACTGTGTCATACTAGGAAAGAGAAAGGGATCTTCTGGAAGTGGGCAGTACGCGCTCCCAGGGGGGCATTTGGAATTTGGGTAAGACATAATATTTTCTTGATACTCGTCTCAGAGAAGTTAAAATCTGAAAAAAGTAAGCGAAAGCGAACCTTTTGCGCATTAATAGATAGTTGACAAGTTACTTTCACGATAGTCGTGTAAATCTGTGCAGGAAGTTGTGGGGGGATGAGAGGGGTAGGGAGAGAGAGAGAGGGAGGGAGTGCGTTCTGCCTTTTCATAGAAGCTTTTTATGGGTTATTGATCAAGTTTGAAGTCAAGAGGGCAGGATATTGGTCAAGATCTTTTCTGCATGTTTCTTGACTTAGATGCAGCCAAGGTCCAAAAGAGATTAAGCTCCTTCTGTCTTCCTACTTGAATTTAAATGAAAACTGTGAATTTGAGGTTGTCATTGACAGTGAATATAAATCAGCACAGTGACTTGGAGACATTTCTAATAATTCCACTTCCCACCCTTTGCTAGCCCTAAAATTAATAATCCCCTACTTGGGAGATAATACATTATAATTATTATATGGCTAACTCTGCCTGTAGGCAAGATGACCAAACCCTACAATGTGATTAGCCACTCAATTGAGTGGGCTAGACAGGGCTGCCTTGCCCACTTTATCCCACAGGAAAATGTTCCCTTGACTGTATGCCATATAAATCCTTTTATCACCAGGCTTGTATGGCCAAGATGGTGAGATATGGTCTCTTGCATTCAATTGGAGGATTATTAGAAGGGGGACTTTCTAGAGATAAGATGACATATGGATCTGGTTTGACAAAGGGTAAGGGACTAAGGGTTATGATTCACTTATAGATCCCAGTGGCAGATTGCTGTTTCTTGTTGGCACAGCCTAAAGATATCTTTTTGGTAAAACTTAAATTAAAGTTTTTCTCACTTTTATACTCAGTGAAGAGTGGTCTGAATGTGCAATAAGAGAAACTTTGGAGGAAACTGGACTTAAGATCAAGAATGTTTCTTTTGCGACCACTGTCAATGCAGTTGTGCCCAAAGAAGATTACCATTATATAACTATATTCATGAAAGGTGAGATTGATGTCAGCCACATAAGAGAGCCAGAAAACTTGGAACCGGACAAATGTGACGGTAAGACAAACAAATTTAATTTATTGGTTAGATATGTTGTAGTTCAGTTGATTTTTGATTTCAGTTATGTGCTTCATTTCCTGTGAGTTATTTTTTCAATTTAGCCCCAGTTGATAATTATTTTTGACAATTTTGAAAACAAGAAATTTGTCATCTGGCATATCATGATCAGAGCATTGCAGCTGTCAATTTTCTAACCTGTTGTCCCTGTGATAATCACTTAAGTCTCCACTACGAACAAGCTCCCTAGTGGATTAAATGGTGAGAATGCAGCTGAAAGCAAAACCACTTGGAACATGAAGTGAGCACAGTTTGGTCTTGGGAACAGCAACATTTCTTCCCTACATTGTGAGACCTTCCTCCCAGACTGCGCTAGACTCACTCCGCTTGCTCCAGACTCTACTTAGCTAGCTTGGCTCACCAATATATTTTTTGCTCTGTGCCCCATTTGGGAACTTGTTCACAAGCTATGATCTTTTCTCTGGTTCTCAAAGCCTCTTCTCACTCATTCTTTTATAGTTCCTTTAGTTTAGCATGTTGAATATGATAACAATAGGAATACAGCAATACAGACAGGCTCAGATTAATTTTACTGCCTTGTTTTTTTTTTTTCAATAGGTTGGGATTGGTATGACTGGTATGACTCTGAGAAATTTCCAACTCCACTCTTTGAACCTCTTAGAATTACAAGAATACAGGGTTACCAACCATTTGACAGCAATGCACATGGACATTGCAACTCTACATTGTTTAGTATTTGTCCTAACTAGCACCAGAAAATCCATGGATAACACAAGAAATATCAAACAATGTACCGTAAACTGCCACTTATAAGCCTTCCTGAGAAAGAGGCTGAAAGTCAGCTAGTGAAATCAAGATATTAAAGTGAAGACATTGATCAAACACACTCTCATAATCTTTGATTACTAGTAGTAATAATATAGTTATCAGTGGCACTCACCTAATTTCAGAAAACATTGTTTGATATGTTATTAGGATTTGTTGTGTGTTTTAAAACAAGCTAAAAAGGCTAATTCAATGCATGCAAACAATTTGACCGGCTGAGAACACTTTTCAATTACTATGTTATCATTCTGGGGTGGGGTAGGGGGTACTCCCAGAAAAATTGGATGGGGGTGTGTGGACCACCCATACCTATATAGCCCATATAAGGGGGTTAGCCTAGCACTGTAAAAAGTGCAATTTTAAGTCTATACAATACTGAGTTGTGATAATCACTTTGTTTCATTGGTAATTTTATTTTCATCAACCATTTTTATCTGCTCCACCATGAGGTAGTAAAGTAAAGTCTACTTCATGACCAAGTGCAAGAGAAATCTCTGATGACAGAAGATTGTGTAGGCAAGCACCATCGTGTGTGTATATCCAGGAGCCATTTTTCAGATCATATCTCTTTGGGCCACTGAAATAAGAATAGAATAAAAATAAAGAATGGCAACAAGAAGAATAAACCATTTTTTGGCAAGATACTAATTGTTTTCCAAACTGAGTGTAACTTGAATATGGTTGACATGAAGAACATTGTAAACAAACCACATGCTACATATGACCGTCATGTTTACCTTGTAGGAGATGACAACCAAATTTGCCTGTTAGGGCTTTGCTTGTTTATCACATAGGTACCACGCCCTGCTGAAAGTGTAAAAGAGCAGCATATTCAGCATATATTTGTGTGTGTTATGAACTCATATTTATACCATAAGGTTGCTGTTAAGCTCTTAGTTTTAATTTGTTCTCACTGCTTTAAAATTGTGTAACACGTTTGACAGACTTTTCATAGTTCCTTGTACCATATTGATTAATTACGATCTAGTATTACCAAGTATCATGAAATACAAAATTAAAAAATGAATTTTCTTAATTACCTCCCAAATTTACTGTAAGTACTCCATCCTACAAAGGAAGATAAACAAAGAAAGCAGATATTAATGTTCCGTAAACCAGAAAAAAGAAGGATAAGAAAATATTTGGTACAATATATTTGATTTTTGGCAAGAATTATCAAGCAATAACTGCCAAGGAAGCAGAGGCGTGCAGCTGATGTGAGAAATGGTATCAATCAATCAATCAATCAATCCTTAATCAAAACACGAAATCTTATCATAAAAATGGTCTTGCTAGGAGTCGTGTAAAAAATCACAATGAATAAATTAACCATGTTGACAGGAATGCATTAACTAACATTACATTAACTAACAAACTAATCAACTAGCCTACAATAAAAACCTATGCAATAAAACTTTCTCAAATTTATAGTGCACTAAAAATAACCTTTCCCATTCAGCGAGTTTTAAACAGTTTTAAACTAGGCAGGTGTCGGATATCCAAGGGATTCTTGTTCCACAGAACAGATCCTCTGTTGTGCAGGCTACCATAGCAATTTATCTTAGAGTTTCTAAGATTGTGTGCCTGAGGTGTTGATAAAAATCTGCTTCAGCCATGATGGGGAAAGATGGATTTTATACATAATCATAGCCAGTTGTTTAAATCTTTTGTTTTCCAAACTCTCCCAGCCAAGTTCATCCGACAAACTACTTGAGCAAGTTTCACAATTTGAAAAGGTGAGAATTCTGGCAGCCCTATTTTGCAGTTTTTGAATTTTGTCTGATAGCCCCTTGCTGATATTGCCCCATACAGTGCTACAGTAATTGAAATAAGGCATAACAAGTGTATTATACAAGTTCATTCTAGTATCAAATGGTATAGTACAATAAGTAGTGCTCACACGCTTTAAGATTGCAAGACCAGCGGAAATTTTCTTTGAGGTAGCATTTATGTGTGGGCACCAATTGAGAGATTCGTCAATGTGAACTCCAAGAGTTTAATGTTTGGTTACCCTGTCTAGTGGTGTATTAAGGACTTTGACTGTAAAATCATTATGTATTTGGGATAACTTGAATTTTATCCCTATGAGCATGTATTTAGTTTTCTTGACATTTAGAGTTATTTGTTTGCTGTCAGCCATGACTGGATTAAATTCATATCATAATTCATTTTGTGTTCAAGGACATAAACTATCAGTAACCATGGGTGCTGCTTCTTGTAGAAGATGCGCAGAAATATTATCTAGACCACTGGCTTTGTTACTTTGAATTAGATCGAAGATCTCGCTTGATACACTGTATTTCTGCTATGCTAAAAGTTTGTTCCGTTGGAGTTACATAATGAGTATATTTACTAGATGTATCTTGAATTTCAGAGGCTAAAGAAGGCCCTATTTGTGAAAAGTGAGTGTTAGGTATATTACTGATTTTGATGGGGTCAGTAGTTATAGTATCCCTGTTGCCAGCTGAGTAATCTTAGTAGATTTGGATTCATTACCAATTAGTCTATTCCTCTCCAGGTATTCTTTATGTTTCTGCAGTTTTCCTTAAAAAATGCATTGTAATTGTTCGTTTTAGCATTTTTAATTTCCTAACTAACCTTGTTTTTTATCTGTTGGGAACCTTGAGGTTATTTTTTTAAGTTTGTCTCTTTGGAACATTAGCTTGTTTAGCTCAGGAAAGTAATCCAAGGAGAAGAGATACATCTCACTCTCCTCCTCTTTGGTGGTGCATGATAGTCAGCAATCCCTAAGAACATTTGTTACCACATATCCCAAGCAATATCAGGGCTATCCTCCAGTTTAATCAGATTCCAAGGGACCATTAATAAATCACGTTGAAAATTATCGGGAAAAAAGTTCTTAAAGCATCTGCTCATTACTATCTTTGGATTTGATTTAGGGGTACAAATCTTTCTTATTGCATACATGAGACAGTGATCACTCATACCAATATCAGAGACTCTGATATCCGAGAAGCACAAAGGATTATTAGTTAAAAATAAATCAATGATAGAGGATGTGTGCTAGGTTAAGCATGTTGGCTGGTTAATTAATTGGCTATATTGGTAACTTTCACAGATATTTAATAATTTTTGTGTGCTGCAGTCTGGTGGTGTTGCATCAACATTGCAGTTTATGTCACCAACAACATCTACTTCCATTTGATACAAGTCCAATTTTTGCAATACAGCTTCAAATCTATTCATCATGTCAATTGTGGACCCAGGAAGCCGATACCATGCGCACACAATAAATGGTTTCATTCTGGATTTCGACACGTGGATACTGATTAGTTCCATGTTAGCCTCAGGGAGGTCATTGAGATGCTTATTAGTTTATTAATATAGAGAGCTACACCCCCACCAGATCTATTTCTATCTTTCCTTTCACGGGTATATCCAGGGATACTAGTCTCACCATTTTGAATAGAGCTGTCTAAATGTGTCTCGTTAATAGCCAGTATATCAACCGGCTTGGGCTGCATTTAGATCCTAAGCTGGTCAATATGCTTATACAAACTGGCCAAGTTTATAGAAGCTATTTTATATTCTCTAGTTATGGAATGCCCAAATTTGGCTGCACATGTGAACTAATCTAAATGTTATTCAGTAAATTATTTGGAGTTTTTGGATGAACTTGGCATTTATAATCCAGCTGGGTGTGGGTATTTATAGTGGAATATGAATTATCAGAAGAATTATTTAAGAAGGCCCTGTATTAAAGAGGCAAGAAAAGCTTTGGTCTTCTGAAAATTTTGATAGTTATCCTTGGGCCTTCTTGCATCTCTGGTATTATGCTTACTAGCAGTACTTGTATTTAATGCTTTGAGGAAGTTAGTAGCTAGATTAGCAGAGCCTTTGTTATTTAAGTGCAGTTCGCTATAATTTAGACACAACTCATTTAGTCGGCCATAGTTAACAAATCTCCATTTCATTTGTACACACATGATGAGTAATTCTTACCTTAAATATTATTTCTCTCCACTTTAAATACTCTAAAGGTGCTGTGATAACATAATAAATGACTATGGATATTTAATTTTGATCTTCCAGAGTGGAACCAACAAAAACATGGGGTAATCCCCAGGACAAGTCTGACTACTCCCTCCTCCTCCAGAAAGGCTCGCTAAGTGTTTGGAGGCAATTTTGCCAACAAATTGAGTGCAGGAGCATTATTCTGGTTGCTTGTGCCTGCTCACACCTCACTTGGTTGAAAAAGCCCTCTCCAAATTTTGTTTGAGACTCTGTAGGGAGAGAGTCTCCCTCCTACAATACCACCTTTTAACTTACACTCAATTGAACATCATAGTCTGTGGGACTTGATGGACTTTCACCAAGGTCTTCGAATAACTCTGCTAGGGCATCCAGTGTCTCATCTGCAGTATTGTGATATGACACCTCATCTAAGGTTCTGAAAAAAAAATCAAGAAAATATTTGTATAATTGCGCAAATGAGGTAACAAAAGTTGACATGTACTATGCTAATACTAGGGAACCATCTACATATTCGCTTCTTCCCCACTTGGCATCCACTGGATGTTTAAGGGGAGGAGGAGTAAGGTGAGTTAATTTTTGAATGTTATAATTAGTGCAAGCAAAAACAAAATGATCCATTTTACTTTAGTTTACTCATTGTTTAGAGTGGCACACAACAAAAACAGGAGGTTTTCACTTTTGTGTGTGTTGAACTGACAGTTGAAAAAGAATTTTAGTGTAGGATGTGAAATGCCATTGCCTACTATGTGAAAGTGTTTGAAGTCATGATGGCTTTTAAATGCCTGGTATTAACGATTCTGGTTCTTGCTTCTGAATACTGTAGTCAGAAATAAGACACAATTTCAACATGTTCAACAGCATATTAAGCCAATTCTTCACATCTGTAGCGACTTGAATGCAGTCACTTTTTCAGGCAGGAAAATTCCAATTGAACTTAAGGAGAAGGGAAGGGTATTCTGACCTAAACATCCAGTGGACGTATTATATACCTGCCAACTCTCACATGTTAAGCGTGAGTCTCACGCCTACAGATCTAAAATTGTGATCTCACGCATTCAGACCAATTTCTCACGCCTAACTGGCAATAGCGAGTGTAACGGCTGAAAAACCGATTAAATAAAAATTCACTTTTTTTGGCGAAAAACAGTTGGTGAGTCCAGCAAAAAAGCGTCTTCAAGCTTACTCCGTTACGCGCATTGAGTTCGCGACACCAACTCGTGTTTAGATTGTGTGACGTGACAAGTTTCTGGTTTCCTTTGTCATGGTTAAGTTGTCAAAAATCTTTCTACACCTTCGGTTATCTTCGGAAGTTGCCGGGAAATCTTCGACAATCTTCGGGATTTGTCCGAAATCTTCGGCAATCTTCGGAAGTAGTCCGAAATCTTCAGCAATCTTCGGAAGTCTTTGGAAATCTTCAGCAATCTTCGGAAGCCGTCAGTAAATCTTCGGAAATTCAGGTTCTGTGGAGACGAAAAATCTCACGCATTTTACTGAAAAAAGTTGGCAGGTATAGTATTAATAGGCGGGGAAGAAGTGAATATGTCGATGACCCCTAAGTAATTAAGTTTGTAAAATTTATTAAGGCATATGTAGCTCGACAGAGAAATACCTTGCAGTGCACAATTTCTTTGTCAAAGTAATTCCACTCTGGTGAAGCTGAAATGGTAAGTTAAGTTTTACATAAGCTTGATTTATAAGCTTTCAATACGTGAAGTGAGAATTCCACAAAAAGTTGTAGCTTTATATATTGAAAGCCTTACCTTTAGCCTTGTTGAAAGCAGTGAATGACGCGATCTTTTAGAAGTCGTGGATATTAAGCTCCTTCTGTTCAAAATTGCAGAACATAATGCAAAGGTGTTCAACTCGACTTTTTTAAGGAGACATATCGTTCGAATAGCGAACATGGCGAGATTCCTATTTCAAATGTCGAAATAAGCCAGGCGCGCAAACATTTGGCAGCGGGAACCTGGATTCTAAAGTAGCATTCGCGGCCATTTTGAAAGCATGAAAGTCAAAATCAAACGTAAGTTATTTTATTTGTTACAATTTTCTTGCCTTCCTGGGCTGTATATTTTCTTTATTACTGGATGCTACTTCTAATTTGAATCTCTTTTTTTCATGATCGCCACCCTATGCTGTTCAATATCAGAGTGAGTATAAAACGTTGATAAATCTACTAGGCTTGTTTGCACTTGGCATAACATAGCTCCATGTAACTTCGCTGTTTTTAGTTTAACTATGTACCTGGAAAATGCATTCCTGAGCCATTTCTTTCTCTCTACGCTTTTAGGGTGACCTTTTGGTGGTGACACTCGTTTGTTCATCAGTCAATTCCAGTAATGCCATCTCCTTTAGTCCACCCGTTCCCATATTTGATCAACGGGAGGTGAAACAGACATGAGACAACATCATGTCTTGCATTCCCAGCCAAATGCAAGACCAAAACTACAAGCTGGGTGCCAAATGCTTCAGGGTCGTCCCAGGGTAAGGCAAATGCCTGGCCCCCAGCAGAAATAAGATTTTCAATGCCCCACGTCTGGGATTAAGACATGTGCAAAGGCTATTTCCTGGGGGGAAAGAGAGTGGGCTATGCTGGAATTGCCTGATGCATATTTAACCCTGAATTTTCAAATTCCCCAACCATCTGACGTGACTTAATATGTTGTGATTGTTGTGTTCACAGGTGGATTGGAGTAGCCACATGGCGCTGGGTGGCTAATGATGACAACTGTGGTATTTGCCGTATGGCATTTGATGGCTGCTGTCCCGATTGTAAAATACCAGGAGATGACTGTCCCTTAGGTAACAAGACATCAACATCCCTCCCCCCTGGCCATACCCTGGTCATTTAGCTATTGGATATGCCCCAGGAATCTAGCTTAGAATGTTATTACTTCCGTCATCAAAACTTTTCATTTCTGGTACATTTTAATTTCCTTTTGTGGTTGATGGTCATTTTATCAATATCTGACCATGTGTTCCCCACTTTGTTTTCCTGGCAAGAACATGTTTCACCCCTGAAGCCAGAACTATATACTTTTGTTTCCAAGGAATCAAAGCAAAAAGGTTTAAAAGAGGGAGCAGGGTGGGGAAGTAACTAAAAGTGAAATGGGATCATTAATGCAATAAAAGGAGTTGTCAGGTGAAAGTGGGCCCATGATTCTTACTGCAATTATGGAGGCAGGGTACAAAATGTTGACTGGTTTAGGTTGAAAACTTTTCAGTCATAAATGGGGGAAGAGTAGGGGAGGCCATCCTCTTTCCTTCTTAAGTGTCTCAAAGGCACCGATCAACAGGTAAGGAAAATTAAATCACCACAACTAACACAGTCAGCATTCTCTTTTCCAGTTTGGGGTCGTTGTTCCCATGTGTTCCACATGCACTGTATTCTCAAGTGGCTCAATTCTCAACTACATCAACAGCTGTGTCCCATGTGCAGACAAGAATGGCAGTTCAAGGAATAACACTTAATTTTCAAGCCTGCTCTCCTTCAGAGTCATAATTTGACCAACAGACCTGAAGAAAATTGAAATTTCTAACAGCTGTTATTTTGTCTATTGTACAGTCACATTGCCAAGATCAGTTTGTATATTGTAAATAAAGTCCATTTTAAAAAAATGGTTAAGAGGTTGCTTACAGCATTTTAGTCTTGCATACATTAGAAATATGAGAATTGTAAAATATATTGTACTATATTGGAAAAAAAAGTGTTTGAGAATGTAGAAGTTTGAATGTGCAAAACTTTTCAAAACTGTGGTGTTAGGTTAATTAATTTAATGAGTAATTGGATATCTGATCTTGCTTACCATAACTTTTTATGATTTTCTCTCCGTTTTCTCCTTAGCTTTAGTTTTGATTGAGAAGATATACCAAACATTAACTTATTGCATTCCTAAACACCTCAAAGTTCATCAAAAATACTGTGCTGCACATTTTATTTTTTAGTTAAGTAACTGTCCTTCATGAAATATCTGTAAAACAAGAAAACTTCAACAATTTTTACTGACCAACAGGAGATAGTCGGTTTGACNAATAACCATTTGGACAAAAGACATGCAAGAAAGCCGAATAGGAACCAAGACTCAAGCTCGAAGTAGTTAGAAGACCTTTCAATTCTGTGGGACTTTACACAGAAAAAAACCGCCGATCCCATTAAAAAATGAAATAAAACGATAAAAATTTTGCGGACTTACAGAACGCTGTTGGTTCTCAGACTTATAGATGACCACTACGTCATACGTGATATACCCTTCCTCATATACCAGAGTATCACTAGTATCCAAGATGCCCCTGGATAAGTATCAAGACCCTGTTATATCACGGGCCGACAAACTACTTATTTCACCGCTCTTGTCAGAAATACCATTTATAACATCAGTTTGTTACATCAATTGCAGTTACCGTTAATCTACCTTTGGCATGCAGTACTGTATATTTCTTGTCCCTCATTCCTAATAAGCGTAACACTGTCTGTTTCTTAAATCTGGCAGATAAAAAAAGCCTGTGGGAATCTTTTCATGATTTCCCACATAGAGAGCATGGAATGGGAAATGAACTTAATAACAATGAAGGAACTTGTATTTCGGTGCGGAGCTGAAATAGCCTGTTTGCAAAAGCTTGTGAGTAGGCTGGAGTCAGGAGCTCGTACTACCATCAACTGGATCATTGTACAATTGACCACAGGACTCGTCATGATTGGAAGTAAGTGTTTCTAGCTTAGGTCTTAGTCTTAACTGCTCAGTCAGCATTCGGACGGAGTTTCCGCTTATAGGGGACATTAAAAATGTGCTATGTCTATGTTGCTGAAATTAAGTGTTCACCCAGAATGCCTTGACACATTCGGAACTTTTATAAATGTTTGCGTACAAATTCAAAGGCAAGCACTGTGCAAGGCCTTCATACATTAAAGAAAATGAATGTCAAACGGGCCGACGTAGCGTGTTGTTTTCTTACGTTTTCCTTGTATAGATTAGACGACGATGAAAAATGGATAACTTGACGAAGCTTTTACGAAAAGTGGAACCATTCGCAAATGTTGCTCGAATTCAGCATCGACCCGTTTGCTGATGAGTTTTTAATATTTTCATGCTAGATGAGCCAAAAGGTGTCGATACTAACTCAAAAGATCTTCGATATTTCACGGAAACCCCCTTTCAACCTTCGACAATCTTCCTAAAACTTAAGAAATGTTCGGAAAACATTCGCTGAATCTTCACAAATTTTGAAGGCTGCTCCGGCTTTGTAAGAATCGGTTGAAGTTGCTTTTGATTTTTGAAGGCTGCTCCAACTTTGCAAGAATGGGTAGAAGTTGCTCAGAATACAAAAAGATGGCCGAATGTGAAATAAGTTGCGCGAAGGGAAAAAATTGAAAAGAAGTTGAAAAGTTGCCTAGAGGTTTCTGAGCAAAATGTGGAAGAGCTAAGTCGCAACAAACCCCCGCCTCGTAAAAGCAAAATGGTATGGGAGCTTTTATGTTGTAATTAATGGTTAGTTTCGTCAGTTTCTGGCCTCACGAGAAATTTAAATCACTGAAGGGAAATATATGATCTTATTTCAGATTCACAATCGACCATCTTACATGTATATTCCTACAGCTTTGCCGAACAAGTTGTTTTAAAGTGTACTAAAATATTTCGAATTTTTGTTCTGTTTTGTTTTGTGTCTACAGTGTTGTGCTATTGGGTTTATATAAGAGAAGATGTCCAGACTGGAACTACCGTGAAAGGGATTACGGCTGGATGCCTTTTAGGCGTGGCGACACACTGCATACGCAAGGCTCAAGTGTTATTCGACAGTTATACGCTGGTCAGTGAATGCAAGGATGTCAAAAAAGAGCTGGAAAAACCCATGATGGATTGTTTGATGTGCAAACACGCAGTGGAAGATGCCCTGCCTGAGAAAAAAAAGATACTGCATGTTGTGGATCAGAAGATCCCTAAGTGTAAGAACGATTAAATTGAAGCTTGTCTGTCTGTCTATCAATAGCGAAGCGCGCGAGTGACGTCATAACTCAGACAAACTCAGACAAATGGTGGAAGATTTGACGCTTTTTCAAGCGGGTAAGCAAGTGTTCCTAAAACAATTTTTAAAACAAATTTGATGTTCATTTTCCTCCTATTTCTCTCAGAGCATGCTTATGTTCTTCTGACTCTCGCGGATTCCCAAAACATTGCATTCTATTTTTAGACTTTGCGCGCTTCGTTATTCTTCCCTGCTGTGGATTGTCCTTCCTTACTTCGGTGCCCGGCGGGGGAGGGGATACTCCCAGAAAAATTGGATGGGGATGTGCGGCCCGCTTCCCCAAACCCTCACCCTATTTAACACCAAAATCTGTGATTTTCTCTATCCTATTTATGGTAAAGGTAAGGTTAAGTCTACATACGAACCAAGTGGCCCACCAGGCCGGAGCTTATACCGTTTTCTGTAGCGTGAAGCGACTAGGAGTATTTCTACTCCACCCTGGAACACAACACAATGTCCCGGCCAGGGCTCGAACCCGGACCCACGTAGGGGCCAAACCACCCCCCAAATGTTTCATGAAGGCAATATTTGCTTGGTTTATATATTTCTGAACCAAGTTTGGCAGATAAACTTTCTTCGTTCTCCAGTTTATTTTAATTTGGAAGTTGTGACAAAATGTCAGATTATGACGTCCAAAACGTGCTATAATTTATTGTAAAATCTGATGTACAGATTATGTCATTGGAAAGGCCTTGACTTGAGGAGTAAAATGCTGAAAACCGTTTTTTGCTATGAAGATTATTTTTTGAGATATGGTAAATTAAATATTTTGTTGTTGTCGCCCCGGAATTTGCTTAACCATACTGTCCTTCTTAATTCAGTCTCTGGTTTATTTTTTTCAGTTTTATTCTAGGAAGGCTAATAATCTAGAAAAATAGAAAGTTTGATGTTGTCAAAAATCGTATGGTTTTAGAAA